CGACGACACTTTCAAGGGAAAGTAGTTCCGAAGAGCTGGGAGTTTGAAGCCAAGATAAATAGCACATTTAATTGTATTTTATTCGTCTAAGAGTCACTCGTAAACAAAATATTTCAGGTCTGAAAAGAAGACTATAATTTAAATTATGATGCTGTAGAGTAAGACCATAATATAGGTTCAATATAAGTACATTAGAACAATATTCAACTAATAACAAGAAGTAAGTTACCTTATCAGTTTCGCAATAACATAGGAACATAATGTTTGGCCTAATTTAAATTCGTTTTCTTTATTAAAATGCCAAATTTAGCAGGGCGCCTTCTGGTAATTAACTGATTTCATCAACGATTGCTGCTAGTGCAGCAAGAAAATAAATCAGTAATAACAAAACCTTGCTAGAAGTACATGTAGGGGTGATCCGGGATATATTCTACAGCTGGCAATAAAGTAAATGTCCAGCGAGTCATGAACAATATCTCAGTATTCTTGTTCAACAGATATAAAGTCTATTAATCTCTTATGAAGAAAAGTAGAAACGTTCTCTGGTTAAAAAGAGTAAAAAGCATAAGTTTTCGGCTATCAGTCTATAGCCTTCAACGAAATGTCATTGATTCATTGAAATCAGTTTCTAGTTTGCAATTTTATAAATCCAAGCCTCCTGAATTTTCCTGCAACCTCCATGTGGATTCTTGGCTGCCCAAAAAGTCTTCAATTTGGTAATGAAAACGAAGAATAACCACCAATATTGAACGGTAAAATACGCGAAAACTATAAAAGTCAGTATAAAGCTAGTACCGGACATTAACATTTGCGTTTACATTGGAAACTGAAGGAGGCATATTGAAATTGAAATTGAAAAAAAAAAAGCTATGCATTGGAATCGCAATCATCAAGAAAAAAAGGGAGAGCCACAGCTAAAGGAACTCACCTTGAAGCTTCACAGAACCAAGGACCAATATGCTGCTTTCACCACACACAACTAAGGAAAATGAACTTATCTGATGTTTTGACATTGATAAGTGATGATGAAGCCATCCATTCTAGGATTGGCAATCATGTGTAAGAAGAGAAAGAAATATTTGATTGACATAAGACTTTGATCAAAACTGTCAAAGTTGACGAGATTATTTAGATTTCAGGCTTGTATTTCTTTTGTGAACACTGTTGCGTGACCATAAAACAACCACTGAAAATTTCAACTTTCCACGTTTTCTGGTCTTGAAATTATATAAAACTAAACCCACTGAATATCTAACATCTGGCTTTATTTCTCTCCCAACCGTATACATAAAAAGTCGAAGGTATTTAAAAAGATAGTAGGATTAACGACATACAAAAAAAAAAAAATGACTACATTAGAATAAACATATTTATACTATGAGAGTTTTCAAAGTCAAGGCTAAAGGCAAAACCTTACAGCAACTTGCAGTTAAAACCTGAGATAACACAAATACTCTTGGCTAAAGGATCCCTATATAACTCAATATTTCAAGTCACAGATGGGGAATTTACATCACTTGTGTGGTGCAATCGATAATAAATATTAACTGAATATTAACGCCTAAATATTAACGCCTGTCTATCTCTGAATTAGTGAGAATGATTATTATCGACAGGTTTTTGCTATCGTTAAAAAAAATACAAGGATTCAACTTTCATGTATTTGCACTGCAAATCAAACTTTCATTGATTTGAACTGAAATTCAAAAATTATTTGTCTTCTCAATTCAAGCAGCAAAATAAATCTGTTTTTCGAATTTTTCTTCAGAATTCACTTACCATGGTTCTTTATCGTTACTTTTCAGCTGCTACTCACACACAATGAGAAAAAGATTTATGCCCTTAGAAATCGTAAACAATGAATTCGTATGCGACCCTGGAGCTTGATGAAACCCAGTAAATTTGGGAGCCTTTTACCCTTTTCACGACATTGGCTTAAATGTTACTAGTTTTGGTATGGACCCATCTGTTGTCTTTTTAATGCTAGGGAATAAATAACCCATTCCCATTCCCATGGGGAGTGCAAATACTCCTGGTCGCCTCATGCTACAGAAACAAAACTAAGCGCCGGCCTGGCGGGCCTCTTAGGTTGTGCGTAGACTTCAATCCAGAACTTGACGTGGGAAGCAGTCCAAAAGATAATCTCTACTATTAATCGATCTTTCAGTTCAATTTTTTCCAATAGCAACTGTTAACCTTGCCGGGATAATGTCAGTTGAGTCTAGCAATACTTACGTTTGCACAATTCGAAGCTTCTGGTGCTTGCGCCTTCAATGAAGCATAATTTCATCCACTGATATTTCCGTTCAGCTACTAACATTTGCCTTACTTACTTTTCAGCTTGTGCTACTCGTAAAGTGTAAGTTGATCAGATTTTCATTTAATATAAATTCCCAAAGAATACCTTGAACAAAATATCGGTTGATCTTCCAGCATTGAAGTTAAAAGAGGGGGACACTGCTTACTTAACCTGTTACAAACACTTCTATGGGTTTGGAGATCCGCTTACATCGAATATGAAGAAAAGAACAAAATAAAAGAAATGATTGAGGAGAAATCTAAAATCACTTTTTGCGTTATATCGTGCAAAGGCAGTGAAGTTACAAGTTTATACACTGAGAGGAAGAATTGATAGTTCATAATTTGACGTCTTCATTCTCTTTCGATTCTGGGCATTTAAATGAACGTTGACGACAAAAACGGCGTTCGATTGTCGTTTTATAGTATTTTAAATAATGACGCCATTCAATAGATATGATTCAAACAAAAAACGAATATAAATGATAGTACAAACAGATAATATTTTGAAGGTTTTTGAGCTTTATGACGGAAGTGACAACGTTTGGGGTGTTCTAACGACATTACACAGCTAACAAAAATAAGCTCAGTAATGAGAGCTACACATGCAGAGATCTTTCAGACTCAGAAGGCAACCCAGCAAAGGTTTTGATATCGGGTAGGGGAATGATATCTTTTGCAGAGCAACAATGATAGATGCAACAATATTCTAAGCCGAAATAACAATTGTTTTCATGTGGTTCATAACGATCCGACAAGCAGATAAAACGTTAGATTGTCTTCAGTTGTCGTTATCACTACCAGTCACGTGTTGACCATTTCGTCTTAAAAACGTATGTTTTACTAGTTATTTTGAGAATTAGAATTCGCTTCGTATTATCAAGTTTGTTTTCCAGGACTTGTCACAAAATTAAGACTCCTGTTAGCTCATCGTGTGGTTCTGGTGGCAAAGCTATTGAAAAGACCCCGTCCGCACTACCCCTGCGGAGAAATTTGAAAACGGAGGTTTCAGTATGAAAACGCATGAAATGTTTTCTCTCCACACTACGCCGGAGAAATTTGATAACGCAGCCTTATTTCTACGGCTAGACCAGACATCCACACTAATCCATCGCGAAACGGAGCTTTTCAAAAACGCTCTTCAAACCGAAGGAATTTGAAAATGCCGGCTCTTCGTTTTCGTTTCGACGAAAAACATTTTGAAAACCTTTCGAAAACCATGGCACCAAGATAATCATGTGATTTCGCTGATCGAATTTTCCTCAAACGCAAATCCAAAATGATCGGTAATTGTTACGTTTTTAAATTCCTCCGGCGTAGTGTGGACGGAAAACATTTAATGCGTTTTCAGAGTGAAGCGTTAAACCTCCCATATCAAAACCGGGCGCTCTTGCTAACGCTATCATTAAAAGCTAGTTTTCAACTGCAGCGTTAGCACAAAAATAGCATGGATACTACCTTCGAACTTTGTGTGAGTTTAGTTGTTTAAGGTGATGGTTTGTGCAATGAATATTCACATAGAAAATTTTGGGATGTGAAATGGAGGGAGCGCTTTTAGGTTTCAAAAAGCAAAATTACATATCGAATGCTCTTCCAGTCATGTTTCTCTTTAGATTGTTCCTTCTTACGTGATGAGCATTTTAATATACAAAAATAATAGGATTTTTTTCCTACGTCAAACTGTTGAAAATGCAATGCGTACGTCGTGTAAACAAAAATTACACTTTGGAGGAATACGCGTAAATTTACAAAATGCGTTGGCTAAGCTCCATGATATGTTTCATGTTCTTTGCTGTTCACATTTACGTTGAACGGAGCCAACTTGCAGATAACCAGAAATATCTTACATTATGAGGAACGCACAAATACTAGACCTTTTGACTGTGTGTGTGTGTGTTTTTTTTTTCTTGCTTCAGGCCTAAAAAGGTTATACCGTTACTTTGGTGTCCGTTTGGATTCCGATAAAGGCCATAGCATGTTTACTCGTATGACTGGGCATTTGTTTAATACTATTATGGTGGCCTCAGTTAAAACACGAGACCGGAACGAAAGGTTATCAGCGTCAAAACTCCTAACAATAAAAGAAAAAAACTTTTAACTGCATTTATTTATATCATAACAGCTATTAATACATAATTTCACCCTGTGACGTGTACGCCGGAATAGGATTCTCAACTAATCGACAAAATTTGCAGAACGTAAAGAAAAAGTTCTGAACTGTCATTATTTGACAGCAATAGCCAATGGCTGTGCTGTATTACAGTGTATATGCTCATGTGTAATAACATTGATAAGTGTATCTATTTGAACTGTTGAAATCGATTGTAAAACATTGACTCGCCTCAGTTTACTTACTACTGCGAGATCTACGAGAGTACAACTATAACAGCCGTAGATTGAGTCACAATTCACAGTGTGACTTTTGACTCGCCAGCTTGGTACATGGTAGATAGTCATTTCGATCCCGGAGGCAAAGAAGTCCACCTAATACTCTGAAGACCAACTTTCATGATAAATAACCTATTCAAGGTAATGTATAAACACATTTTTTTCACTTGGCCTTGTCAGAGATATCACAACCAAATAGCAAAAGCTAAGTATAGTTGTAAAATTAACTCGAAAATATGCAGATTACAGGTTAGGCCTAACAGTCTGATATCATCATGATTTGTTAACACTAAATCGCGAGCGAGCGAGTCTTCGTTCCTCGAGATGTTTTATTTGCTTTTCCCCTCTTGGTAAAAGCACACATCACATCTAGTTCTTGTGCCACGGCACCATAGGACACACATGTATAATGGGGGTTCTGGATCAGACAAATCTCGGCCTTATAAGACGCTCGGCGTCTTGGAGCCCAAGTTGTTTGAGTCCAGAACCCCCATTATACATGTGTGTTAACTGCCCGCGATTGTTGATCTAGGATTATTTTCCAATTGAACAAGGGGCATGTCTTGACATAGAAAAGCTATGGCCGCGTCAAGGTCTTCATCTGATGTGATAGAGATGTTTTACGGTCCTATCTGGCGCGAAGAGAACGCGAGACTTCAGCCCCCTATAAGGCCCACCAGGGATTTTGATTTTCAGTTGGCAAGAACCAACTTCAACGAATGGCTTCGTGTGTGGAAAATAACAGTTCCAGAAGCCTATAAATTCAAAGCAGACCTTCTGTTTTTAACAGAGACAACGCGGCAACAGTAAATAGCGTATTTCGCCGATTCATTGATGAAGTCAAAGGTGAAATAGAAGCCTGGTCTCAAAGAGGCTCAGGCTGGGCGGTAGAAGGCGTCTTTCGCCCAATACCAGCCCTTTCGTGGAGGCAGTTACATGCCGCTGCCCAAAAAGCTACAAAACAAAAAAGCGATCATCAACGTCCAAAACCGGGACAACAAGTGCTTGAGATGGGCGCTGCGTGCGCCGCTGTTCCCACCGACCGATAGGAACAACGTATCAAGACCGTCAAGATACCCCACAGAAGACGGGCTGAATTTTACAGGAATAGACTTCCCAACGCCCGCATCACAGATAAATAAGCTAGAAAAACAAAACCCGCATCTGGCTAGAAGCGTGTTTGGCTGGGAAAAAGAGCGCGTGATCGTGCATAGGCTCAGCGAAAAAGAGGGAAGCCTCCCGAGAATCAACTTGATGTTGATACAGAACAACGAAAAATCCCATTATACCTTCGTGAGAAGGTTGAAACCTTTGTTGTATGACCAAAGAAGGCATAACAGCGGCAAACATTTCTGCGAAAGCTGCCTGCACGTTTACACGACAGCGGAGCTGCTGGAAAGGCACAAACCCGAATGCATGGGGCAGCTGAAAAGGCCGGCGAGGACAGAGCTGCCCAAAGATGGCGAAAACAAGGTGAAGTTCAGGAACCACTACAAGCAGATGAAAGCGCCGTTCATGGTTTACGCCAACTTTGAGTCTTTGATAAGGAAGACACATGGCTGCGCTAAAAAAGGTCAGGCGACGATCAAAACAGAGGTCCACGAGCCCTGCGGTTTTTTGTACATAATCGTGAAAAGCGACGGCCAGACGTACGGCCCGTTCGTGTACGTTCCTAGACACATTACCGAGCGGTTTGTATACGCAAATCCGTAGGTGTCGTTTTTTGCGAAATGCAGAATTGTATCTAGGTATGTATACAGGTATACTTGATTGTACTGTTAAACTCCCTGAAGAAGTGTGCGCTAGTCACACGAAACGCATAGGAGAAAATAAAAAAGTTTTACAACTCAAGTAGTTCGCAGACGTGCTGCTCACTGGTTTTACTTTTAAAAAAAATCTCCTGATGCAGGCCATGGTGCGGGTGCAGAAAAGAGGAAGCTGCTCCTGAAGAAAGGGATTTGTCCTTGCGCATACATGGACAGCTTTGAAAGGTTCGCCGAGACAGAGCTCCCGGCCAAAGTAGAGTTCTTCTCGAAGCTAGCCTGAAAAGGGATAACAGACGAAGAGTACGCCCACGCGAAGAAGGTCTGGGCCGAGTTCGGATGCAAAACCGTCCGCGACTATCACGATCTATACGTGAAAACCGACGTCGTGCTGCTGGCAGATGTGTTCGAAAACTTCCGAAAAGTCTGCATGAGGAGGTACGGGCTAGATCCAGCACATTATTACACAGCCCCCGTTTTGAGCTGGGACGCGCTGCTGAAAAAGATCAGCGTAGAGCTAGAGCTTTTGACCGACCTGGACATGCACCTGTTCATCGAAAAAGGCATGCGGGGCGGCATCTCAATGGCGAGCAAGCGGTACGCGAAGGCCCACAACCCGCGGGCGGCCGACTACGACCTCGCCAAGCCTTCTAAATTCATCACGTACCTGGACGCGAACAACCTGTACGGCTGGGCAATGAGCCTGCCGCTGCCCAAAGGAGGCTTCAAGTGGAAGAGAGTGATGCCCACGCAAGAGTAAATTATGAAACTGAAAGAAAACCTGAAGAAAGTGGTCTTGGAGGTGGACCTGGAGTATCCGGAGGAGCTCCACGAATCCCACAACAGCTATCCTCTTGCGCCAGAGAAAAAGGCAGTAGGGGTGGAGAAGATGTCAGAGTATCAAAAAAGAATGATGGACGATCTGGGGCTGGACTTCCCGAAAAGCGAGAAACTGGTGCTCACGTTGGAGGAAAAAAGCAATTACGTCGTCCATTACAAGAACCTGCAGTTTTATCACGACCAGGAGCCGTGGATGGAGCCCTACATCCAGATGAACACGGAATTCAGGAAAGAAGCGATGAGCGAATTCGAGACCAACTTCTACAAACTGATGAACAACTCGGTGTTCGGCAAAACGATGGAAAACCTGAGAAACTACGTCGACGTGAAGATTGTCCGCAGCTGGGAGACCGACAAGAGCCGCCGCCTGGTACCTAGCCCCTCGTATACGAGGCACGAGATACGCGGAAACGACCTGGCGAGCATCCACATGTACAAAACGCGGCTGCTCTTGGACAAGCCGATCTACACCGGCATGACGATCTTAGAGAACAGCAAGATTTTGATGTACGCCTTCTTCTACAACCAGACGAAAGCCCGATATGGGCAAAAGTGCGAGCTGATCTACACAGACACCGACAGCCTGCTCATGGAAATAGAGACGGACGACGTCTACAGAGACATGGCGGAAGACCTGGTCCTGTATGATACAAGCAATTATCCCAAAGAGTACCCGCTCTACAGCAGCAAAAACAAAAAGGTGCTGGGGAAGATGAAAGACGAGTGCGCGGGAAGGGTGATCGATGAAGCGGTGGCTATACGGCCAAAAATGTATTCGATCATAGAAGAAAAAGAAAAAAATATCAAGAAAGCCAAGGGAGTAAAAAAGAACGTGGTAGAAAAAGAGATCCAGCATGAGCAATACAAAGAGGCACTGTTCGAGAAAAAGTAGTTCTGGCACGGGATGAACATCATGTGAAGCGAGGGCCACGAGATCTACGGCATGCGCGTGAACAAGGTGTCGCTGTCGGAGTTCGACACAAAGCGGTGGATAGGAGACGACGGCGTGCACACGCTGGCATACGGGCACAAAGACATCATCAGGCACGGACGCACGGCTGCGTATTTGGAAACACAACCAACAGTTCTTCGCGAACAAAGCCGCGCTTAGGCCCGTCAGACAAATAATAGACAACAGACTCTTTCGGACTCTCTTTTCCGATAAGACTAGTGACTTCGCCGTTAAGAGCGGCAACAACGTCGGGGAGCCTTTTTACCCACGCGGTCGACCGCTGGCCCGCAGGCAAGAGCATTTCTACGCCATACTGATGCCAAGCAAGCGCTCGGCGAGCGTGCGATTGAAAAGTTCAACGATAGCCTGGTCTCTGTGAATGTCAGAGCGCCCACGGCGAATGGTTGTTTTGTGGTTTTCCATTTCTTTGGTCACGCTTTCCATGAACTCGCGCCCAGGGTCGACCTGCAGCAGCTGAGACCACGTCAGAGGGCTGCGGTTGTAAATCGACTGAAAAGCTGGGATGATAAAAGTCAGCTAAGCGAGGCTCTTTGGGCGGGGCGATTTGCTTGTCCGGGTGGGCCTGGTTATAGAGTTTGAACGCGTAATCGGTGTTCATGAAGTTCTGCTTCGCCTGTTCTTTGATTTCTCTCTTGGTTTCGATCCAATCAAGAAGCTTGGTGCGGTCGCGCGTGTATTTAACCATGGCGGCCTGGCGGCCATGCCGCATTTTTTTCTTCCAAGGCCGCCTTCCCGCTATCGCCAGACAAATATTTGGCAAGATTGTTACCGCCAGTAAAAACAGCTGCGTTAAGAATAGCGCCCCCGATCACCATCACAATGTTCACCATTGTTAAAATCTACATATCTTTTTTCTAAACCGAGGTCGGGAGGATCTTTTTGTCTTGAAGGTAATCTTTGAGTGCAATGCTACCTGCCAAGACAGCCGTAAATTTTACATAGTTCGTGGCGCTGCCGCTTGGGTCAGCGGTAAAGTTCTCTTTCACCACCCTTTTCGCGATCTAGCCGATGCCGGCGGTTAAGCCGGTAAGAACGGCCGCATCCATGATCGATTTAACGAGCTTGTTGTCCGATATCGTATAAGGTGCGTCTTTTTTCTTTTCAAATGTCAATCCATTGGCCGGATTCGTATTCCTTGGCTCGGCCGCTGCGTATCCACAGCAGTGGAAGCAGAGGCTTGGGGCTCAGGATTGCTTCCACTAGTGGAAGCAGGGGCGGGTTGCTGTGGCGTGAAAACCATTTTTAACTCTTCGTGTTTGTAGTAATTTCCAATGACAGAAACCGTAATGCTGATTATACTGAGCCATGGGGTCGTGCTGATAACGTTTTTCGTATCTTCAGTCGGCTCTTTGTTTGGTAGCGCCCTGGGAGGTTTGTTTGGCTGAGTTGGAACAAAGCCCGCGGCTTCAGCAGCTTTTTTCTGTGCTTCGCGCGCCTGTTTGGTTCTCGCAGCGACGGCTTTGCCCTGCAGTCACCCGATTCGGGTTTTTTTCTTTCACAGGTGCGGTAGTTGGCATTTTTGAAGTCACCTGCTCTCGTGTGTCGACTGGAGGCTATGTTTGCTGCGTAGCGGGTGTTGGCTCGACTCGAGTGTTTTCTGAATCTGCCAATATTTTAGTCAACAAAAATATTTAATTGAGAATTGCTGGGTAATGCTTACTAATTATTCAGCACGGCTTGTTGAGCAATCAGCAGTTTGCTCAACAAGTTTGGACGCGGGTACTTCATCAAGCGGATAGCCGTCTACATCACGAGAAGGGTGGCTCGGTGGACTGAAATCGATACGTTTTGTCGTGATCAGCGCCGCATTGACCACCGCGAGCAGCCGTCCACATCTCAAGGCAGGGCCGCCTGCCAGGGCAAATAGCTCTTTAGTTATTATGTAATCATTTTTCAGCTCATTCTGCAAAGCGTCGGCATCTTTGACCCGCACCACCAAGCCGACCGCTTTCGTGGCCAACATCAGGAAACTTTCAATCAAAGTTTCAGTGGTCTTGGTGCCAACGTACGTCTCATACCTTTTGTAGTGCTTTTCAACCTCTTTGTCAGTAAAGCGCTTGACCTGCTCGTGTGCTCAGGCGCAAGCCAACGGCTTCTTTTGCTGTGCCTGTGGAAACAAGAATCGTTAACTGTTCCCGCCTGGCCGGGATGTCTGGCTGGACAAGAGCGGGGCCGGTGGAAGCACCTGAGGGCTCGGTTTCCATCATCTCCATGACTTCTACAAAAGCTTTGGCTTCATCAGCGTCCATCTCTCGTCTGTGCGCTGTTTTTCTAATTCGAAAATTCGATCCCGTAAGGCGGGCGCAGAGAAAACATGAGGTGGGAGAACGGGCGCTCTTTCAGCCTTGCAATCAGCTGCTTGAGGGCGTCTTGCCGAAGGGGTGTAAAACAGCACGATGGCCGCCACATTTTCATGGAACGTCTTCGCGATGCTGGAGAGCTGCTGGGTCAACACCCATGCGCTGAGGTTCGCGAGGTGGGCAGAAAAGCTGAGTTTCACGAGCTCGCTGGTGCGCCCTTTCACGTCTTTGGAGGCCGCGTAGTCATCAAGCACTATCAGGGTGTTGGCGCCTTCAGAAACGAAACTCGCTATTTTCAACCAAAGCTCCACTTCCTGTTGCTCGCAGATGATGACAAACAGCCGCGGATCTCTCTCAGCGAAGCGGTAGAGGGTCTTGTTATAAGCGAACGTTGGGCAGATGAGCACGACGTAATNCGAAGAAGGTCTGGGCCGAGTTCGGATGCAAAACCGTCCGCGACTATCACGATCTATACGTGAAAACCGACGTCGTGCTGCTGGCAGATGTGTTCGAAAACTTCCGAAAAGTCTGCATGAGGAGGTACGGGCTAGATCCAGCACATTATTACACAGCCCCCGTTTTGAGCTGGGACGCGCTGCTGAAAAAGATCAGCGTAGAGCTAGAGCTTTTGACCGACCTGGACATGCACCTGTTCATCGAAAAAGGCATGCGGGGCGGCATCTCAATGGCGAGCAAGCGGTACGCGAAGGCCCACAACCCGCGGGCGGCCGACTACGACCTCGCCAAGCCTTCTAAATTCATCACGTACCTGGACGCGAACAACCTGTACGGCTGGGCAATGAGCCTGCCGCTGCCCAAAGGAGGCTTCAAGTGGAAGAGAGTGATGCCCACGCAAGAGTAAATTATGAAACTGAAAGAAAACCTGAAGAAAGTGGTCTTGGAGGTGGACCTGGAGTATCCGGAGGAGCTCCACGAATCCCACAACAGCTATCCTCTTGCGCCAGAGAAAAAGGCAGTAGGGGTGGAGAAGATGTCAGAGTATCAAAAAAGAATGATGGACGATCTGGGGCTGGACTTCCCGAAAAGCGAGAAACTGGTGCTCACGTTGGAGGAAAAAAGCAATTACGTCGTCCATTACAAGAACCTGCAGTTTTATCACGACCAGGAGCCGTGGATGGAGCCCTACATCCAGATGAACACGGAATTCAGGAAAGAAGCGATGAGCGAATTCGAGACCAACTTCTACAAACTGATGAACAACTCGGTGTTCGGCAAAACGATGGAAAACCTGAGAAACTACGTCGACGTGAAGATTGTCCGCAGCTGGGAGACCGACAAGAGCCGCCGCCTGGTACCTAGCCCCTCGTATACGAGGCACGAGATACGCGGAAACGACCTGGCGAGCATCCACATGTACAAAACGCGGCTGCTCTTGGACAAGCCGATCTACACCGGCATGACGATCTTAGAGAACAGCAAGATTTTGATGTACGCCTTCTTCTACAACCAGACGAAAGCCCGATATGGGCAAAAGTGCGAGCTGATCTACACAGACACCGACAGCCTGCTCATGGAAATAGAGACGGACGACGTCTACAGAGACATGGCGGAAGACCTGGTCCTGTATGATACAAGCAATTATCCCAAAGAGTACCCGCTCTACAGCAGCAAAAACAAAAAGGTGCTGGGGAAGATGAAAGACGAGTGCGCGGGAAGGGTGATCGATGAAGCGGTGGCTATACGGCCAAAAATGTATTCGATCATAGAAGAAAAAGAAAAAAATATCAAGAAAGCCAAGGGAGTAAAAAAGAACGTGGTAGAAAAAGAGATCCAGCATGAGCAATACAAAGAGGCACTGTTCGAGAAAAAGTAGTTCTGGCACGGGATGAACATCATGTGAAGCGAGGGCCACGAGATCTACGGCATGCGCGTGAACAAGGTGTCGCTGTCGGAGTTCGACACAAAGCGGTGGATAGGAGACGACGGCGTGCACACGCTGGCATACGGGCACAAAGACATCATCAGGCACGGACGCACGGCTGCGTATTTGGAAACACAACCAACAGTTCTTCGCGAACAAAGCCGCGCTTAGGCCCGTCAGACAAATAATAGACAACAGACTCTTTCGGACTCTCTTTTCCGATAAGACTAGTGACTTCGCCGTTAAGAGCGGCAACAACGTCGGGGAGCCTTTTTACCCACGCGGTCGACCGCTGGCCCGCAGGCAAGAGCATTTCTACGCCATACTGATGCCAAGCAAGCGCTCGGCGAGCGTGCGATTGAAAAGTTCAACGATAGCCTGGTCTCTGTGAATGTCAGAGCGCCCACGGCGAATGGTTGTTTTGTGGTTTTCCATTTCTTTGGTCACGCTTTCCATGAACTCGCGCCCAGGGTCGACCTGCAGCAGCTGAGACCACGTCAGAGGGCTGCGGTTGTAAATCGACTGAAAAGCTGGGATGATAAAAGTCAGCTAAGCGAGGCTCTTTGGGCGGGGCGATTTGCTTGTCCGGGTGGGCCTGGTTATAGAGTTTGAACGCGTAATCGGTGTTCATGAAGTTCTGCTTCGCCTGTTCTTTGATTTCTCTCTTGGTTTCGATCCAATCAAGAAGCTTGGTGCGGTCGCGCGTGTATTTAACCATGGCGGCCTGGCGGCCATGCCGCATTTTTTTCTTCCAAGGCCGCCTTCCCGCTATCGCCAGACAAATATTTGGCAAGATTGTTACCGCCAGTAAAAACAGCTGCGTTAAGAATAGCGCCCCCGATCACCATCACAATGTTCACCATTGTTAAAATCTACATATCTTTTTTCTAAACCGAGGTCGGGAGGATCTTTTTGTCTTGAAGGTAATCTTTGAGTGCAATGCTACCTGCCAAGACAGCCGTAAATTTTACATAGTTCGTGGCGCTGCCGCTTGGGTCAGCGGTAAAGTTCTCTTTCACCACCCTTTTCGCGATCTAGCCGATGCCGGCGGTTAAGCCGGTAAGAACGGCCGCATCCATGATCGATTTAACGAGCTTGTTGTCCGATATCGTATAAGGTGCGTCTTTTTTCTTTTCAAATGTCAATCCATTGGCCGGATTCGTATTCCTTGGCTCGGCCGCTGCGTATCCACAGCAGTGGAAGCAGAGGCTTGGGGCTCAGGATTGCTTCCACTAGTGGAAGCAGGGGCGGGTTGCTGTGGCGTGAAAACCATTTTTAACTCTTCGTGTTTGTAGTAATTTCCAATGACAGAAACCGTAATGCTGATTATACTGAGCCATGGGGTCGTGCTGATAACGTTTTTCGTATCTTCAGTCGGCTCTTTGTTTGGTAGCGCCCTGGGAGGTTTGTTTGGCTGTGTTGGAACAAAGCCCGCGGCTTCAGCAGCTTTTTTCTGTGCTTCGCGCGCCTGTTTGGTTCTCGCAGCGACGGCTTTGCCCTGCAGTCACCCGATTCGGGTTTTTTTCTTTCACAGGTGCGGTAGTTGGCATTTTTGAAGTCACCTGCTCTCGTGTGTCGACTGGAGGCTATGTTTGCTGCGTAGCGGGTGTTGGCTCGACTCGAGTGTTTTCTGAATCTGCCAATATTTTAGTCAACAAAAATATTTAATTGAGAATTGCTGGGTAATGCTTACTAATTATTCAGCACGGCTTGTTGAGCAATCAGCAGTTTGCTCAACAAGTTTGGACGCGGGTACTTCATCAAGCGGATAGCCGTCTACATCACGAGAAGGGTGGCTCGGTGGACTGAAATCGATACGTTTTGTCGTGATCAGCGCCGCATTGACCACCGCGAGCAGCCGTCCACATCTCAAGGCAGGGCCGCCTGCCAGGGCAAATAGCTCTTTAGTTATTATGTAATCATTTTTCAGCTCATTCTGCAAAGCGTCGGCATCTTTGACCCGCACCACCAAGCCGACCGCTTTCGTGGCCAACATCAGGAAACTTTCAATCAAAGTTTCAGTGGTCTTGGTGCCAACGTACGTCTCATACCTTTTGTAGTGCTTTTCAACCTCTTTGTCAGTAAAGCGCTTGACCTGCTCGTGTGCTCAGGCGCAAGCCAACGGCTTCTTTTGCTGTGCCTGTGGAAACAAGAATCGTTAACTGTTCCCGCCTGGCCGGGATGTCTGGCTGGACAAGAGCGGGGCCGGTGGAAGCACCTGAGGGCTCGGTTTCCATCATCTCCATGACTTCTACAAAAGCTTTGGCTTCATCAGCGTCCATCTCTCGTCTGTGCGCTGTTTTTCTAATTCGAAAATTCGATCCCGTAAGGCGGGCGCAGAGAAAACATGAGGTGGGAGAACGGGCGCTCTTTCAGCCTTGCAATCAGCTGCTTGAGGGCGTCTTGCCGAAGGGGTGTAAAACAGCACGATGGCCGCCACATTTTCATGGAACGTCTTCGCGATGCTGGAGAGCTGCTGGGTCAACACCCATGCGCTGAGGTTCGCGAGGTGGGCAGAAAAGCTGAGTTTCACGAGCTCGCTGGTGCGCCCTTTCACGTCTTTGGAGGCCGCGTAGTCATCAAGCACTATCAGGGTGTTGGCGCCTTCAGAAACGAAACTCGCTATTTTCAACCAAAGCTCCACTTCCTGTTGCTCGCAGATGATGACAAACAGCCGCGGATCTCTCTCAGCGAAGCGGTAGAGGGTCTTGTTATAAGCGAACGTTGGGCAGATGAGCACGACGTAATCAAACCGGCCGCAAAAAGGGTCATAGTGCTGGTTCACGAGAAACTACGTTTTGCTTGAGTTGGTCGGCCCCACGATTAGCGCGTTGAAGGGAATATTGCCGGGATCCATGTTTGGACAATTCAAAACTGCACCGATTCTGGCTGTCTGTCCATGATGTTAAACTGGGAGTCAGAGATCAAGAAGATATGGCAGTTCACGTTTTCCGAGCCGGGGGTCTTCCGCTCGATTTCCAGCTGGACGCCGTCGGTGGTGTTCACAAGCTGCGTGCCGCTGCCGTGCATCGTCTGGTCGGCCATGGAGCGCAGATCGATCAGCAGCCCGAACCGGTTGCCGGTGTAGACCTTTTGTGGAGTCATGTGTTCGGTTTCGCTTTTTTCTTTCACAAAGAAGAGGCTGGCTTCGGCCCACATGTCCTTGCTTTCGATGCCTTCGTTGTGCAGCATGTTCGGCGAGCCGTTGATTGTGACGCTGACTTTCGTGATGTCAGGGAAGATGAATTTTTCCGAGTCCTGGCCGCCCACGGCATAGGGCTCCACGAAAAGCAAGAGGATCCCTTTCATGGACCGTCTCTGGGCGTCGACTTTGCTGTTCAGCCGCGAGGTCGTCTCTTTTTTGAAGGTCACGACTTTGTGGCGCATCACGTGGTCATAAGCGAACTCTTTGCCGACCTCATACACGCTGAGCGCCTCGGCTCCGAGGAATTTCGTGCGTATCATTTCGTACTCGAACTGGATGTTAGTCAGCTTGTATTTCAGCTTGGTGGGGTCCGAGCCCCTGACCACCTGTGAAACGGTGGCGAGCGTCATTTCCAACATGAGATCGTTGTACAGGGCCTGGGGGTAGAAAACGCCGTGGCCGGTTAAGATCTGGTGGTCGAGCCTGATGCAGTACTTGCTTCCGAAGATCTCGTTCAGCTTGTTTTCAGCGGCGACGCCCGAAGTTTTCTCGTCTCCGGCTTTGGAGCGTATCTTGCACAAGTCTTCGCTCTGGATCCCCTCTGGCACCATGTTGTCGCGCCGTTCGACCGGGAGGAACAGGTCCTCGAACGTGTTGTAGATGTCGAACCCCACCGTGTCTTGCGTGGCGTTCTGAACGAGGAAGTTGTTGGCGTGCCCGCCCTCCAGGTCGACGTCAAAGCGCAGCGCCAGCGAGCCTGGCACCAGCATCTCGTATTCGTTCAGCTTGGGCACCGAAACGTACAGGGTGCCGCCGGGGAAGGCTTCGGTGCGGCCGAAGGTGATGCGTTTGACGGCGCGCGGCGCCTTCATGGCCCGCAAAGATTTCGCCATGTATATCGGAAGCAGCACGTCTGGAATTTCGCCCGGTTTTTTGTCTTCATCGTCATACATCTCGGCCGCCGTATAACCAGCCAAGATTATTTTCTAATTTAAAAAACGCGCGCTTGAGATATACTGGCTCAAATGGCAGAAGGCGGTTTTGAAAACCCTAGCTATGAGGAAGATTATGAAGAAAAACAAGCTGGTGCCATAAACTTTTTATACCGAGACCTCTTTTGGTGGAAGACGGGACGTCTCAACAGAAGGGATTGAAGCAAGACTGGACGCTTTAAGAAAAAAGGACACGGGGCTGCTGGACATGACCAAAATCGAGCTTCAGACGGTCGTTTTAAGCGAAGCAGATAAACAAAAAGAAATTCTACGAGTCAAAAGTCTGATCAAAACCCGGTACCCCGATGCCGAAGTCGACAAACTAATTATCAGATTTTCTAGAAAAAAACTGAAACAGGTCGTGGTGGTGGGGCCAAAGAGGAGAGAGACCAGAATAGCTTTAGACGACGGCAGCGGTTTACAGAAAAGCTTTTTAAACCAGACTTTCGTCAAAAAGGTTCTGAGGCCTACTGCCGGATCTATAATCAGTACAAAAAGCGCTGAAATTAGAAAACGGCAAAAAGAACTAAATGAAAAGCGAGAGCGAGAGTTACAAGAGAAACCAAGTTTAGAAGATAAAAAATGAAGAGATACTGGTCCTAAACCAACGGTTAAGTAAAGAGCAAGCAAAGAGCGATCAAATCAAAGATCAAGGGCCAGAATATGAATCAGTAATTAAAAGGAAGACACAACTGATCAAGAATTTAGAAAACGATTTCAAAAACAAGAAAAAAGAAAGTAAAGAACTTCAAAAAAAAGTGAAAAACCAAGAAAAGGAACAAGAAAAGATCGACCGCCTTGCATCAAGTATTGCGGAAGAACGAAAGTAAAAG